TCCCAGTCAACTATGCCAAAGGCTAAATCTCTCTCGGCGTTAACAAAATACATACCTGACTACAGATATTTATACGCATTATGCGGAAGAACCAAATTGTGTAGATATGCAGTCATAGAACGCAAATCTAGATTCGGTCTCTTACAAACAATAATATGGACGGCGGTTGAGCGTCAATAAGCGCTCTCGTCCAACGACGTGGAACTAAGTACGAATTTTGGATGGTTTATTTTGTAGAATAAAATACGCCAAAAGTACTTGGTTAAGTTTTAGATGGGAAACACAGACACACAAACCCATCGAATGTGTCTTTCTCAGCCATGGTATTCGAGGACTTGCGCTTTCCGCAAAAGCCAACTAGCACGGGTTCCTGTCTTAAGAACGGGCTGACCGAGGTCAGGGCACACCCCCGATAGTTAGTTTATCTTTTTTTTACTTCGATGACTTCATTTCTTAGGGAAGCTCGTCGAAACATTTGTGAAAATAATTTACTGCTAATTAGTTGTTTCGAAAGACTGCGGTTTCCTTGGCCACGTCGTATAGAAGGGATAGAAAGAACCAAACAGAAAAGCCAATAGGTATAATTGCGGCGGGTGGCCCAGTCAACACTCGCTCTCTGAAAACAATTAACGTGAGATAAGTTATTGACACGAACACTTCTACAGTGCAATCTGCAGGCTCTGTGTACTGAAAAACGTCCTGTACTATCATTAATTACTTGAGCTAAAAACGGCACATGGACGAGCACGCAAACTTGGCCACTGTGCCGTCCGCTCCATTTCAGTCACGGACTAAAGATGGCGAAACCTGCTTCAAAGACAGTCTCGTGTGCTCATCCTTCCTTTCGACTGGCCGATGACCGCTCGCTTTTCGTCTGCACTGACGCAAACGGCGTCAATTTTGAAGTTTTCTGCTGCATCGATATATTCCTCAGCCCCTGTATTACATATAGGGAGCTCAAAGGTCCTTGCCTATCTTTCACATTAATAAAACTGAACTGGCCTCACTGACGACAAAAGGCCTTTCAGTCGTTCATCGCCTCCTCTTACGCGCAGCCGCTTATCTAAAAAAGCTAAGAAGATACAAGCGCATATTCCTCCTCATGGACATTGATTTCTGACCTCATTGACACTTCCCCATGAATGGCAGTCCCTTTCTCAGTATACTTGATGTTCTGATTAGTTATTTTGCGTTTTGTGCCACGAAAGTCTTTTACCTGTTTGTTGTACTTTGAATTGCAAGAATGGCTACAAACTGGCCTTTAATGTAATTTTTGTCCGCGCCTAACTCCTTTCATCA